ATATTAATAACAAATAGACAAAAACAATCAGAGTGAAAGCAAACAATCAATCGCCATCCTTTTGAATGACCATAACATTAATGATGTGTAGGAACTCGAATAACTGGGAATCATAGTCAACAGCTATGGTGGCACGTCAATGGATATCGACAGCAGAGTGAAAAAAGCAAAATAGTCTTTCGCGTTGCTTAATAAAGTCTGGAAAGCCAACATTGCAAGTGTCGAAACTAAAATCAAAATATTCAATGCCTGCTTAAAATCGACACAGTGGCGTAACTACATTTTTTAGGCCTGTAAGCAAATTCTAACTAAGGGGCCCCTACCAACATACTATGGGGCCCCTCTTTTTATACTCTTTACACGAAAAAATGTGAAAAGGGTATATAAGGTTTGTCAAGATTTTCGTAACGCATTAAAGAAAACGTCGGAAATACCATTAAGTATATATCAGTACAATATATATATATTTTTTCAGTTCAAACTACTCTCTCAGCTTTTGAACTCTTCGAATGAAACTTTACACACATACTTTTCGGGAGCCAACCCTGTTCACCATTTGATTTTTGATTGAAATTGGACGTCTATTTCTTGTAGCTGTGAATTAAACTTAACAATCGGATATGAGGTTTCTCCGTTTTTAATAAAGGTATTCAAATGGAATTTGGTGTATACAGTACTGATATTTGCAAAAGACAACGTACAAAATTATTTTTAAATGGGTTTTAATCTAGATATAGCTCCCATATAAACTCTCGATTAAGACACATATTTTTCTTAGAAAAACTTTTTTATTTTATAAATAGGTTTAATATTTTATTTGAAGTACATACATATTATGTACTTTAAATTTAAAATTTACGTATCTTTTAAAAAATGCAATATGAAGTTATTCCAACAAAAACGTTTCGTCCCACTTTTGAGAATTTATTAAAAATAAATACAATGAATAGAAAAATTTATAGTGGGGCCCCCTAAATTCGGGGGCCCGAAAGCGTTGCTTCCAATTGCTTCCCTGTAGTTACGCCAATGAATCGACATTATTATATGGGTGCGGAACATGGTCGCCAACGAGGGCGTCAGCTCAGAAGCTACAAACGTTTGTTAATAGAAGCTTGCGACGTATTTTGAACATATGGTAACCTACAAGTCTCCAACGAAAAGTTATTGCGGCGCGCCAAATAAAAGCGAATAGAGAAGAAAATTTA